TTCCTAAAAAGGAATTTTCCCAAAAGGAAAGGTATACTTGGCAGACAAACCGAGAATTCAGTGAAAGCTAGTTATAAAAAAAAAAATCAAAAAAAAAAAAAAAAAAAAAAAAGCAGGAAACCTAGGGAACTTCACGCCTGTGGTGCCAACCAAATCTCTTTAACAGAATGCAAGCAGACATACTAACTAGTTCTCCCTGTCTATTTTCATTTACCAAATCAGGCACAGCCAAGAAAATGTTGCACTTTGAGATTTCCAAGGAAGGCAGTGAATTATCAGTGGTGGAACACGCCGAAGTGTGGCTCTTCCTGAAGGTCTCCAAGGCCAACCGGAGCAGGACAAAAGTGACCATCCGCCTGTTCCAGCAGCAGCGGCAGCCTAAAGGCAACTCTGAAGGAGCAGAAGAGATGGAGGATGGAGGGCTGAAAGGTGAAAGGGGTGAGACTCTGATTTCGGAGAAGGCGGTGGACACCCGTAAGAGCACTTGGCACATCTTCCCTGTCTCCAGCAGCGTGCAGCGACTCCTGGATCAAGGCAAGAACTCCTTGGATGTGCGGATTGCCTGCGACCTCTGCCAAGAGACTGGAGCCAGCCTGGTGCTACTGGGTAAGAAGAAGAAAAAGGAAGACGACGGAGAAGGGAAGGAAGCTGGAGAATTCACTGGGGAAGAGGAAAAGGAGCAATCRCATAGGCCCTTCCTGATGATGCTTGCCCGGCACGCTGAGGACCGGCAGCACAGGCGGCGGAGACGAGGCCTCGAGTGTGACGGCAAAGTCAACATCTGCTGCAAGAAACAGTTCTTCGTCAGCTTCAAGGACATCGGGTGGAGTGACTGGATCATTGCACCTACAGGTTATCACGCCAACTACTGCGAAGGAGAGTGCCCCAGCCACATAGCAGGCACGTCCGGCTCATCGTTATCTTTCCACTCCACTGTCATCAACCATTACCGCATGCGGGGTCATAGCCCCTTTGCCAACCTCAAGTCATGCTGTGTGCCCACCAAGCTGCGGCCCATGTCCATGCTGTACTATGAYGACGGCCAGAACATCATTAAGAAAGACATACAGAACATGATTGTGGAGGAGTGTGGCTGCTCATAGACACACGCACACCCAAGACTCTTCCTTGGCTGTTATGTCGAGAAGCAAATGTTGTAAAAGCCCAAGAGGAAAGACCTGACATGGTGTAACCTTTCTGAACGAAACAATCAACTGAAATAAAAGCAAAAATAAAAAAAAAAAAAAGAGAGAAAACGAGCAAAGGAAAAACTAATAAAGCTGACCTGAGGAGGATCAGAAAAGACTAAAGATACGCAAAGAAAGAAAAAAGAAAGCTTCACGACCAGGGCTTGAATGGCGGTATGGGGTCGGGGATTTCCCCTTCCTTTCAGTATGCTCCTTATCTTTTTAGGTAGTATATTAAACATTACTCGTAACAAGGGGAGTTATGTTCCCTCCCCTGGTTACCCATCAGTTCAAGCCGTGGTAGCAGCTCATCTAACCTGCAGCAATTTGGACTAAGTCCAAACTGTCATTGAAATTCCTTGAAAAGCCATGTGTATGAACACTACATTCACTGGCACTTTCCCCCCACAATTTACCAAGGAACTGAGTACGTGTGTAGTGTCTGTGTGGATATATACGTGGCTATGTATTTACATACATATCTCTATACATACACACACTACACACATCCATATACTTACTTATATTGGTAAAGGGACAATATTGTGCAGGTGTATACACCTTCATCTTCTGCACTACATTTACAAAAAAAAAAAAAAGAAAGAAAAAAGAAAAAAAAAGAAAGAAAAATGAAGAAAAAACAAAATAAAAAATTAAAAGAATGAATGAAAGAATAAAAGTTACATTTTGTAAAGGTGCTTACAATGTTAGAACTATGCAACCTAGTTGGTTTTGAAACTGTTTACCTGCGAGAGAAGAAAAAAAAAAAAACAGAAAGACTTTTTTTAAATGGAAGTAACTTGTTTTAAAACAAAATTCTTCAGTGAGAGATACTTGAAAGGAACATGTTTGTCCAGTTACTGGAGCCAAACATTTCTATATTTTGTAAAAAAAATTTTTAATCGTTTACTATTTGCACTACAATGGTGTCTGACCTGTCTAATCCTTATTTAACAAACATTTGCAAGGGAGGGAGGTTGGGTGCGGGAGGGGTTGAGAGCTGCACTTATTGTGAGCTATACAAGAACTGCTACAGCACACAAAATAGCTATTTTTATTATTATAATTATTATTATTATTTTGTACCTTAAAAAGAATAGACACATACACCAAAGACATTTGTGCGAGCCTCTGAAAAGTCTGTTTGTGGTTGGTACCATTCACCTGTAATAAGTTAGAGTTGAAATTAAGGGTCAGTGAGTTGATTATGTTCGGGCTGGTATGTCTGTTAACTAGGTAAATTCTAATACTGCCCTCAAAAAAAAAGTAAAAAAAAAAAAAAAAAAAAGCAATTGGAGACTAGCTCTGGATTTCAAAAAGCCCAGAAAAGCCCTGGGATCTGGATCCGAGGTGCTTGGATCCAGCGCCCACCGAGGCACTGGCATTCTGCATGTACAACACTAAGGCTCGTCCCCACTGCACAGCCCCTGTGCATTGCTGGGAAACGGCTTTATACAAGGGATATACATATATATATGTATATATTTCCGTATGTATATATGTATGTATACACAAGGTATAAGCACTTCTGGCTTCACTTTAATGTTCTTTTTTTTTTCTAAAAAAAAAAACAAAACAAAACAAACAATGAATGTTTGTGTGCAAAGCACAGTATATTGAAAGATTGTTTGTCTGTCACTAACCCGGGCGGGGGSCGGGATGTGTTGTGTGTGTGAGAGAGAAAAGTCCTGTGCAAAACTGCAAGCAGCTTTGGGCCCTGCGCATCCCTTGCTCCAGCAAAACATGCGGAAAAGTGAGAGCTGTGGCAGTGCCTCCGCTTTGTGCACAGCTGGGAGCAGGAGAGCGGCAACCCCCACGGTTGCTCTCCACTCCCAGACTGCGTTGTCAGCACAGCACCTAAGCCGAGAGGTCCAACCTACAGGGATTAGGTAGATAARTTGTCAAAAATCCCTATTGCGGTCCTTTTTAAGGGGAATGTTCAAGTGTCTTTGACGTGTCTTTGGCTGGGAGGTAGGTGGGAAGAGGGAGCAGGAGAGACATTTTGGCCTTGTTTACGCTGAATTGGATAACTCTGGGCCTGAAGTCTTAGGCTCACACTGGTTTGCAGGACTAAGTCCTTGTTGGGTGTCTTCTGGCAAGGAGTCTTCAAGGCGCCCCTTGCCCGGAGAGGCCCTAACACAGCTCCCTGCCTCACCAGTTTGCTAAAAAAGACCAAAAAAAAAAAAAAAAAAAAAAAAAACCAGGACAAAAATTCCCCTATTTAAGCAATTTAACCCAGTCTTGCTGGCTAGGGATACTGTGGTTAGCACCTTCGTGGAGAGAAGCGTAGTTAAAACAGTGTAATCAGGACCTCCGCTTTCAGCAGCCAAGACTGCTTGTGTGCATGTGTGTGCCTGTGTGTGTGTGTGTGTTTCCATATTTGTATGTATTAATAGAGATTTAAAAAGAAAAGAAAAAAAAGAAAAAAAAAAGAAAAAAAGTTCAGAAAAGAAAAAAAAAAGCCCCTTCCTCTGTTGAATAAATATCAACATACATGCTTATAGCTAAGTTTTCTATCTAATTTATTCCACAGTATTTAGATTGCATAGTACAGCTAATGGGTTATACCTTTATGTACTTTTTATACAATGCATTTTTTTACAGACTTGTTTGCAGTTTGAAAAAAAAAAAATTAAAAATTGTAACAATTGGGTAAACACTAAATTTCTCACTAAAGTGTTCTGTAAAATATCAAGGCTTTCTGATTTAAATTATTTGCAGAAGTTTGTTGGGGTTTTTGTATTTTCTTCCTGGGGAGAAGGAGGGAGGGATGCCAAATGCTAGTAGGAAAAAATAAATTAAATAAAAAGAGATGCACAATTAATTTATCTTCATAACTGCAACAAACCAAGCTCCTGCCCCTGCTGCTGCACAGGAGGCAAGTGGCAGGATTGCTGTTGTTGTTTTGGGAAGCAGAGCCAGGCGCTGGCATTTTAGGGGCAGGGATATYACCTGTGACTCTAGTGGCAAGGGAGGCAGGTGAGGTGGCTCGTGTCAGCACCAGTTGTCCTCAAGCTTGACTAGCTGCAGACACTTGAAATCCCTGAGCGACGATGGCAAAACTCCCATAGGTGGCGAGTAGAGCAAGATGCGGCTCACTGTTTTCCTGGCAAAGAAAACTGAGCCTTTAGAAAGCAGTTGGATACTGATGCTAATTTTGATTGCAGCCTTTTATGTGGTGAGCAGGGAGCAGCCCTGGAGAACATGAAGCTAGCAGGAGACAATTCCCAAGTGAGGAAAGAGGAGAGGATTTTAGATGTGGTGAGCAGGTTACATGATAGATACAGCGAAAACAGAACAAGGTTTTCAAATCAGCCAGTAACCGTTCCTAAGCCCTGCTCTTTAGCTTTCATTTGTGCGTACACCATTCTCAAATTTTAAAGCTTTCTCCCACCAATCTCTAGATTCAGTCATGGGGTTTTGATTTGTGGTCAGAGTTATTTAAAGCAGGGGGGAAATGAAAAAGTATATGATAAAATAAAATAAGAAATCAGGATGTTAATCAAGACTGACTGATTCCAGCAAAACACCCCACCCCTGATAATTTGGTTTAATTAAGTCTGCATGTATTTAAAATAGCATTAGAAATTGTTACCATATTTGACCAGTTCTGCAAGGGCATGCAGTCTCAGAAATAACTTCTCTTTTCAGGTATTAGTACACCCCTTCCCMAAAAGCCTTTAAGTACTAACACATTCCTTTCCGTATAACCCATTTCCTGTTTATATTGAAATATATATTTTCAGTATATATTAGATCGTTGCAATGTATTTGTTCTGTGCCTCCACAATCTTCTTGCTTCAYGGTTGACCACATTTGCTCGTCCTTCCCCCTCCCCGGGTCAGACGCTCACTGTACACAAGGCCTAAGGAACTGGCAGAAGTGCACACTGAAAAAATTGCTTTGGGAGGGCTAAATTTATTTATATTCTTGGGGTTTTGAAAAGGAAATGCTTACAGATGCTTACAGATGCTTACAATTATTCTGCAGTTGTATGTCACAGCAGAATACTGATCTAGGGTCCAAAACTGTAGAACTGAACGAAATGGGAGTTTTGTCATTGACTTCAATAGAAACAGTCTCTTAACAAACATTGCAAAATAATACTCTACTGTAAGTACCTGCTTCTTTTTTTTTTTTTTTTTTTTTTTTGGTATTTAGTTGAGGTTGAAGCCATCAGATTCATTCAACTGTAACATCACAATGCCAAGGAGAGGCTAGCAGCAATATCTCTGAATTAGAGAAGTTCAGGCATCTGTAAAGACTGTGTGCAAAGTGTACATTTTTATGGACTATAGTTACTCATGTGGAATAGTGCCTTACTCTGCAAGCAATGCTGTTGATTTCAGAGAGTTTCCTTTCCTAGAGAGTAGGAACAAAGTGAGCAGAATCTATTTCTGGAGTGTAGGTAGTAGAGATGCGGTGGCAATTATTAAGTTCCTTAAGTTAAACCTCATGTCAAAATTGTGCATCAGTATAAGAATCAGATGCTAATCACTTTCCTTAAACTGAGAAGAACTTTACTCCCCATATGCTCTCATTGCATCACATGTGGAATAAAAAGCTTCTCAGTACGACTAAATAACATAATTTGACCTTTTGTGAACAATTASAAGCAACACTTTCATGGGCAGAAACGAACAACACTTCTGGGTTATATAGCTATTTATTTTTTGAGATACAGTGAATTTGTATTAATTCTCTTTTTTTGTATTTAAATGCTTTCAAAAACAATACATTGACGATGGATTGAAGATATATATGTATATGTATATATACATATTATATATATATCTACAATATATATATACATACACAACAATATATATATGTATATACATATATATATATAAATTATGAAAGCCAAGATATTATGAAGCCTATTTTGTTTTTATCATTTTGTGTTTTATTGTTGATATTATTATTATTATTATTATTATTTTGCATACTACATGCAGTGCTTTAACCAATGTCTGTTCGGCTAATGTAATTAAAGTTGTTAATTTATATGAGTACATTTCAACTATGTCAATGGTTTCTTAATATTTATTGTGTAGAAGGACTGGTATTTTTTTTATTTACATTATGTTTAAAGAGGTAACAGTTTGATATGTTCTCATTTGTTTATATTAGAAGTTATTTATTTTCACAGCATTCCGTCTGATATTTTGATATTTGGAAGGCATGCTACCTATCCTTTGTACAG